AAAAAAAAAAAAAAAAAGAAAAAAGAAGGAAAAACAGAGAGCATACACGACATTTAGTTTGTCAGCAAGCGAAATTAACCAATGGTTAACGTGGCATTAGAATTTAATAAGCGCGAGTTTTACTCTTGGAAATACTGTATAACACAAATGTCACAAACATGACAGCAGGCGGCAATCTTTGTGGATATTGGAGGTTATCCTGATAACGGTCAGTTCGACTATGATGCTTTAGTTTGCTGGGGGCAAAAAGATACGGAAAGAGTAATACAACCTGTTACTTTGTATGCTCTTCTCTTCTGCCCGTTAGCTTTATCGTTGGTGCGGAAATGAAATGAACTATAGACGGTAATTTTTAAATCCGTTCTATTAGCGCTTATCTAAAATTCAAATGTAATGGTGTAGATGAAGAAAGTTGACGCTTTCATTCCAATTGTCATGAAGATATATTGGCCATGTTACGTCGAGTATTTATAGCATTGTAGTGTAATACATAGCTCGTGGGATATATAACATTTTTGTTCGAATAAGTCATACATGCTTTTTTTGCTCCCTATTAGTTTGCATTGTACTAAGTCCGTTTATAATTGACAAATATACTAATGGAGACAAGGATAGAGAAAAGAAGAGAGACACAGATCGTTAAAACAATTTTTACATCATAAAGTAACGAATATGCATGCATATTTTCTCTAATACTCACTGTTTGGATACATTGGGTTGTACTAACAATGATACCTCGGATTATTATTTTATTACCATATGCTTAGCTCTAGAAGAAGCTCGGGGGCTTATTATTGGACAGTTTGTTAATTAAAGGTTTCAGTCTATTGAGTGTTGTCATGATACGATGTTGACTACGGCGTCATACAAGAGAGAGAAGTATTGCATTCTGTTAGTAATTCTATGTAACCCTAGAAGATAAATTATTGATGACTCTTTGCTAATGAAAAGGAGAAAAGTTTTACTTCGCAGGTGTAGGACTACTTTTTTGGATAGCAACAGAACATAGCAGTCATATTAATACAAGAGAATGTTTGTAATAATAAACTATTTTCCTTACCACTTCTTTATTATTCGAAACATATCACAGACGAGGCTCATGTTTGAAACTCTGATATTGCTGTTTTGTTAAAAATCGTAAATCTTTTTGTTATTTGTGTACTATTGTGTTTGCGATGTTGATTGGTTGATTCTTTTTTTAATTGGTTTTTAGAAAGATAAGGAAGCATTTTTCTGCAGAGAACGTATAGAGTTTGATTCAGAACATAGTTTATTAATTAACTAGGACTGATTTCCTTTTCCACAAAATCGATCCGCGGCGCCACAGTTGTTATCAGGTACGATCGTTGGAGGCAGCTCCGAATTCATTACAATAAACGCTGTGAAGCCGTAGGTGCACTGTATTTTAAAAGGTATGCATCATGAACACTGGTCCACGCCCGAAATCATGCTCTAATCTTTCAAAAGAAAGGTTGACTTCGGATGACATTAATCACAATCTTTTGAAAAATGGTCGTCATTGGAAGGTATAGTTGTTCCAATCATTGTTGCCTCTGTTTCAGGTTCTGATAAGGTAGTAATAGGTTCTTACACGCCCTTTATTATTTTCAGAAATATATATATAATGTAAAATGCTGTCTTTGATACTATTTCTTCAGATCTTTTTCGTGTCACCCATCGTAGTATTAATGTATACAGTGATTAGCCTGAGCAATTGTTTACAAGGGAACAAGTCGAGCAAATCATTGAGGAAATGTCAAGAAAACTCAACTTTGACAAATCAAGAGAAGGGCCCAAAAATCTTCCAAACAAGATCTTGGAAGAACTAAATAACAGCTCAACTATTTCAAAACAAATTCCTTGCTCATATTCTGGATTATTGGTGATTCTTAAACTGAAGAGCCTTGCCGATTTAAGGGTTATTTTGATCTTTAAAATGCTTGGTTGAAAGTTAGAACACTAATCAGCATGCGCATAAGAAAGTATTGCTTATCAATCTCGAAGAATATCTTGAAGGAGTTCAACTGTAGGCTTTTCTTCGTCTTCTTCAAGAACAACTTTTAAAGCATTCTTATATTCCCTTAGATCCTTCTATGAAATACGCTTTAGAGACAGATACGATAAATTGTATTATTTGCATCATAAACTATACTCATGCTATCGATAATTTTGTTCAAATATGACATACTTTTGGAAGAGAGAAGCTCTTCATATTATAATCAGCTTTACATTTGTAAAGTCTAATAAGTCGACTGCAAGCAAAGTATATTCGTTTTTGAAAAGAAGAGCATTATTAAAATAAGATACGTGTGGGTTTTATAGGGAGAACTAATGTTGACAGCATGATTTAATGTCGTCAGTGGTGTTATTTATGCTTTTTTTATTTATAAAAAGCTTGGCTCAGAGAACACAGAACCACATTTTCAGTCTCCATTTCTGCAACTGCACGATAAAATTTTGCCTAAAGTCCGACACCTGTTTTCAAAAAAATCTTCCAGTTTAGTCAGATAATTTACCAAAATTAAGCTAGTTTAGTTTTTTTTAGTGCAAAATAAAGAGAATATGGACAAAGAGACTTTATATATAAGCACTACATTTGATGATCGTAGTTGCATTAATACTAATATTGCTTTTATTTTTTGAAAAAGAAGCTGTCGTGGAAAGGCACCCAGGCAAAATTGACTTCATGTTCCTTTTTTTTTTACTACCAAGAAACTAAAACTCAGATTGACAAATGATAACGCTTTTGTCCTAAAAATTCTAGTTGGTAAAAATAGAAGACCACTCATTTTTTCCCTTTCTTTCTTCTCTTTGCTTCTTTCTTTTTTTTTCTTTAAAGACAGGATATCAATAAGAATGAAGCGTTTATCTTTTATATCATACTTATTGATCGTACTGTATATTTGTTTTCAGGTTGTACATGGTGTAGCCAATACAACAGAAAGCAAAAACATCCAAGATATCACGTCAAGAGCAGAGCCATCTGCTGGTAATAGTCAAGCTGGAAAATCAGCTGCTACTAATGATGAAAGTTCTGCTGTAAAGTCTGATGATGTAAGTACTACTACCACTTCTACTGCTTCTGCAACTACATCGACTGCCCCTTCGTCGGCACGTACTCCTAAAGAACCAACCACTGACTCTAACTCTTCTATGTTCCCTACCACTACCTCTAATTCTCAACCCACTTCCATTACCTCTTCTAAACCTACTCCCACTACCTCTGATTCCCAACCTACTCGCACATCACAGACCAGTCGATCAAACAATGATGGAAACGGACCAAGCGCTGCTGCTGTCTCATCGGGTTCCTCTTCTGATAACAACCCGGCAGCAACAAGTAAGCCTACAACAACACCAGACCCTACGACAACACAGGATCAACCTAGTCCTCCTACGTCCAAAACTACAGATCCTCCAACTACATCTGATCCAGCACCTACCACCACTACAAATCCTCCCACTACATCTAATCCAGCACCTACCACGTCTGCTAAGCCTACTACATCAAACCCACCTCCCTCTTCAACAACTGCTCAACCCAGCACTACCACTGATGCCAGCTCATCATCAGTTGTCCCCTCTTCTTCATCTGCGGCTTCGACTACGTCATCCGCAACTTCTTCCTCTGTATCGAGTTCTTCTAAAGCAACATCCACAGGCACTCCTTCTACATCCGGTCCTTCTTTAACATCGGCTTCTGCCAGTCCTTCTGTTACTTCTGCCGTTCCTTCTCCAAAGCCATCTGGCTCTCAATCGACTAATACAGGCGCCATCGTTGGTGGCGTTGTTGGTGGTATCGGTGAGTACTTTAAAAACAAAGGCTGCTTTTTGATGATTAACAAGACTTTTTTTAGTTGGCGTTGCTTTAATTGGTGGTCTCATAGCCTTCATCAATCGACGCGGCGGATTTACTAGCCGATCGAGAAAGAGAGGCGACGGTAAAGACGATTACACGATCGATATGAATCAAAATGACTTTGGCCCATCCGCTGCCGCTGTAGGTGCTGGCGCCGCAGCAGCAGCAGCCCCCATACCTCCCTTTGATAATCATCGTTATCCACATTCTCCTCAGCCCATGTATAATACAGCTGCTTCAGTGCCTAGTGAGCCTTATAACGATTATCATGAGGGCTATAGTCAAGTAGGCGGATACAGCCAAGGTGGTTACAGCCAAGAGGCTTTCCATCCTGATAATGCTGGATACCAAGACAATTACGGTTACTATGGATACGGTGCAGGTCAACAAGGATATGATACAAATGCATATTATAATGAACAGGCTTATATGCAACCACAACAGCACCAAAATATGTATCCAACATCGCCTACCACTGTTTCTGGTAATATGTCAGAAGCTGGTTATCACTCTTATTCCGGGGCCCCTGGTGTTGCCCCTGGCATTGCTCCAGGAGATAAACCCAACTTGAAAGAATATAACAAGCCTAACGAGTTATAAGTTCAAGGAATAGAGGCATATGTAATTTATTATTGTATTACTTAATACAATTAATCATAGAACATCTCTTTCTCATCTTTCAAAATAGACCTTTCATTTTCATGTATAAATGGAGAAACATTTTAACCTTTTGTTACTTTGTAATCATAAATAAAGCATATAGTTAATCTTATCCTATACACAATTTCTTTTCTGCAACGAGTTTAGTTGTCTTTTTAGCGAAACGAAAGCTTTGCAGGAGTTTGCTTTAATATTTATAAATATCTGTTGATCCACTCACAAGATGAACATAAAATGATAATGATAGTGTTGATAACTCTTTTTTATTATTATATCATAGGCAATTAAACAGACATGATTCTAATAATTTAAACATCAATCAGTACACACGATTAAGAATGATTTATTTGATAATAATTTTCAATGACCGATGAGCACATACCATCCTCATGCTGTACTGCCCGGGTCAGATCGCAGTGAGAAGAAATGAAAAACCTTTTTGGGATTAAAAGGAAAGTGTAAAATTATTACGTATTAGGGATAATAGCTAACTATCTGAAAGTTTTTGCTGAATGTAACAGAGGGTTCACCAAGATGGTTTGAAGCTTCAGGGAACTGAGAGTGAGCTAAGTAGTCCATTTCGAGTAATATTGCACATATGGAAGGCCAACGAATGAGCCAGGCATCGATTGATTTTCTCGCTTTCTTGATAAGGAGTGTTGGTGGTAAGAGGTTCAAAAGATAGGAAAGTGGATTGTCAATAGATTTGGGCATCTGAAGGCGGTTGTGCATATCTAAACAAGAAAAACTATGCTGACGTGAAAAAAGTTCATTTGGATGAAAGGGACAGGCTTGGGGTTTACCAAGAGGTAACCAGCCAAGCCGCTATCGCACGCAGCGAGACCGTTCACTTCTTGTCATTGATACCCGAAGAATAGGGTCGACAATTAGATCATTACGGCAGTGAGGCAGAAGTTTAGAATGTTTTTCTTGGAGCTTCGTACGGTGGTTGTCAATCAAAAACTGTCTTCGTTTTCTAATGAAGTTACTATGAGACATAGTTTTGAAATATTCATTGCTGAATGATGTCCATAGAGGTGATTTGGATAGTTGGGGCCATTTCGAGATACATTGTGATTGTATGTATGGTAGCAATTTTGTTAATAATGCATCGTCTGGTAAGAAGGAGAGCCTGGAAAGAAATTGTGCTTGAAGTATGGAAATACGATCCTTCATGTTTGGTAAATTCGTTTAGTGTAGCATTACCTTGGTAGAGGTGAAGAGTCGTCCGCCGAAGATTTGCCGAATGCATTGGTTTTGGCAGTTTTCGAGAGATTGAATTTCTCGTGAATTGAAGGTTGTAATTGCTAGACCATACTCCAGTTGTGGTCGGGCTATCTGGGCATAGAAGCGTGTTGAAAGGAGGTAATCAAACCCATTTTTGTTGACACCAAGGGTAATAAGTTGTTTCATCGTTCCAAGTGCTTTGTTAATGTTTTGTTGTAAGAGTGCTGATTTGTCGACAATACCACCGGATTTTATAAGAACACCAAGGTACGGGAAGTAATCTTCGTTGGGTAGTTCACTATTGTAGAGGTAGTATTTTTGACGTGTAGGGTTGGGATCAACAGCGACGCACTTTTTAGATTCCATCGATAACCTAAGGAAAGGCTATGCTCCTCACATTTGGAAAGAAGGAACTGCAATGAATCAGCATCAACAATAAGAACTACATCGTCTGCATACAATAGGCAGTTTAACTTTGGAGCGACAATGAGAGGATCATTAAAATCTGTGTCGACGAGAGGTGCTAGTTGTAAGAAATTTGGAAGGCTATTGATATAGACTGAGTATAGGTAAGGTGATAATACAGATCCTTGTAGGACGCCAGTTTTTGGATGAAAACGAGAGGATTTATGGTTACTAAGAATCACTTCGACCGAAACATCTTCAAACATATTGTATAAGAGGGTTAACAGAGGTGTTGGTGTGCTTGAAGAGAGCTCATTCCATATGATGTTACGATCAACCGTATCATAGGCTGACTTAAAGGCTAGCACTGTATTGTAGTGTAGATGTTTGTGATGATATAATTGACATAGTTCTGTTAAACAGAGTACTTGATCAAGTGACCCATAGACTCACGGAAGCCTCCTTGAGCGACATCCAGTGTAAGACCGGTATAAAGTAGATTGAGAGGTTAGAAATTTGCGGTGCATTTTGGAGTGCACCAAGTGTGTTTCCCAAAAATCGGATGAGTGTTGTGTGATCCACAACTGTCATTCTATTCGCCAATGGAGTTTAAATCGAGCTAGATGAGATGTAATGCATCATTTTTATTCATTTACCTCTACTTTCTCTCTTTCTCTCTACTATTCAACATGATACGGTTACCTGAACCACCAACAACTGCTGGTGCAGCTATTCCAGCGCATACACCACATGCTGTCTCTGTTACACTACCCACTTGGCAAGACAACATTTATTATGAGGAAGGAAATCCTATTGTGACATCCAAAATGGAGTGTGGATATCCTCGCTTCTTCATTCACCCTCTTATTCAAAAAGTAAGCCCCCTCCACTTTTGTGAACAACCATTAACTAAGATGTCATGATCTTAGTTAAGCGCTCGTCTAGTCGCCAAATTTGGTAAACCAAACGATTCATGTATGCTTTTCCCTTCGCACAAGGTAGCAGAAAGTTGCCGAGCCTTTATGCACAGGTATTATCAGCAGCCTTTAGGTACTATTCGTATCGCAGAATTTGAAATTGCCGCGCCCGAAAGTTACGAACGCGTGCCGATCCATATCGTTCTCTTCCCGCAGGACGCATTCCCCATCGCCAAGCAATTCTGGCAGCATTCGGGCGACATCATTTCATCGCGTATGGCGGAGTACTGCTTGAGCATCTTGGACGGCAATCAAAACACCCCTGAACCAACAAAGCAAGAGATCAAGCCCAAGCTAACACTGGGTGGACGCAGTCAGAGCCATTACGGTAGCAAGCATGCCAAGCAAAGCAAGCATGAGGAAGAAAGTGTGTCAGGCGAGCAGACGACATATCTTGAAGAACGATATGGCCGAAACTTGCCGGTTCAGTTTGCAAAAAACGCCAAGGTTGCGCTGAAACGTCGAATTGCAGGTATCTTAACCGATGTTTCCGTGGACGATCATCTGACAACAAGTAATGTCGAGGAACAACGACAGTTGACAGGCGAGCGTGGTATTCAAGGGTTATCAGAGGAGGATGTGTATCTGTACCCTTGTGGTATGAGTGCTATTTTCCATGCGCATCAGTATGCCATGGCTATCGGCGATGCGTCGCTCAAGAGTGTCTGTTTTGGGTAAGTTGGCCCCCAGTATCGAAATCTTGTCATTCTAATGCATCTGACATAGATTCCCGTATACAGACACACTCAAGATTTTGCAAAAGTGGGGAGCTGGATGCCATTTTTATGGTCTGGGTGAGGACAAATGTATAGACGAAATGGAACAACGGCTTCAAGCAGGAGAAAGAGTGTTGAGTTTGTTCTGTGAACTGCCCTCAAATCCTTTATTGAAGTCACCCAACCTCAAGCGACTGCGAAGTTTAGCTGATCAATACGGTTTCTTAATTGTTGTGGATGAAACGATTGGTAATTTCTGTAATATTGATGTCTTGTCATGGGCAGATGTGGTCGTTAGTAGTTTGACAAAGGTCTTTTCGGGTGACTCGAACGTCATGGGCGGCAGGTAAGCGGCTTTGTACGTTAACGATAATATGAGCTCACTCTCTATTGAAGTTTGGTACTTAATCCGAAGAGCGCCTATTACAAGCAGCTTAAGGATGCTTTAAAACACGATTATGAAGACCTTGTCTGGTCTGAGGACGCTGTTTTTCTTGAACGTAACTCTCGCACGTTTAAAGAAAGGTCAAAGATTATCAACCAAAATGCTGAAGCTCTGTGTGACTTTTTGGCGTCACATGAGAAAGGTAAATGCACAATCGAGTCATGTAGCATGTTTGTTCATCTTTTCGGTATTTGCAGTTCAAAAGGTATTTTATCCCAAGTATGTGTGTCGAGAATATTATGATGCGGTAAAGCACAAGACAGAAGATGCTGGTTACGGAGGCTTGTTTTCAGTTCTGCTAAAGGACGAAAGAAGTGCAGCACAATTCTTTGACAACCTTAAGTGTGCAAAGGGGCCATCATTAGGAACCAACTTCACATTGGCCTGTCCATATACCATTCTTGCACACTACACAGAGTTAGACTGGGCGAACGAGTATGGAGTGTCTCGATACTTGGTTCGAGTGAGCGTGGGATTAGAAGATAGAGAAAAGTTGATGTCCATGTTTAAACAAGCTTTAGATGCTGTCAATCAGTAAGCAGCAACATAGAAATAAAGATGATTGACGATTAGCGCTTATATAATATATTTTAATAAACCAAGTGTAGTAAATTTAAAGAGATTATAAGAACAACTTTTGCCTCAACCTGTCGGCAATGATTTGCAAAATATCGGTAGGCTATATTTTGTTTTTCAGGGAGAGGAATTGTGACGATATGTATCATTGATAACAAGTGTGCACTGAGATAATCTATATCCAAAACAAACGGGTTGTCTATTTTTTTTTTTTTTTTTTTTTTT